CACACACGCACAGACACACACACGCACAGACACACACACACATGCACGCACACACACACACGCACACACACACACGCACACACAGACACACTCTGCTGGCTGGTGGAGACGTCGCCGTCACACAGAGGCTTCTTTATACGATCCAAATGTTTCTGTTTTCTTCACAAACTGAAAATCTGAGACTTTTAGTTTCAAATAAGCCAAAAATCTAAGAACTTGAAATGTGAGAAGAAGAAGAAAAGCCCAAACACGCAGAGAGGTGAAGGTTTTATACCGATGTGCAGTAATACAAAGAGCTGGGAGTGTGAGTCATTAATAATGTGGACGCAAGAGGCAGACATTTCTCACATGAACACAGCACAGGCTGCATCAAGACACAGCCATGTTTATACTCATATTCCTTTGTCTCCCACTGTGCACTGGTTACCACAGCAAACCCATTAAATAAATGAGTAATAAACTACTAGCCTCTCCTGTGCAGTGCAGCACAGCGATGCTTGTTTCTCGGAATATATACAAAAGTCTTATTTGCCTTTTAGCTGCAGTGCAGCTTCATTTGTGTGCCGACAGAAGAGTCGCTCTGTCCCAGCAGTCACGTCCACGTGGTGTTACCTGGGCACGGACGTTTGGTAGACCTGGCCAGGTTGTGTGTGTGTGTGTGTGTGTGTGTGTGTGTGTGTGTTGTGCTTCAGTACACTGCACTAAAGCACATGTGAGGGCAGTCAGTGGAGGCTGTGTCCATGCAGAGTGGACTCCACTTCAGCTGAATTCAGCCAACAGAGCTTATCTATGTAGGTACAGGTGTGTTTAATGGGCGGGGCCTAGAAGCAGAGTCTGACATCATCAGCTGCAGTTAAAAACAAACATGGCGAGCATATATAAGTTGATTAGTACATTTACACACACTTCTTTACCTCCATGTTTTAGTTACTTTAGTTTTTAAGCCCCCAGTACAGTTTGTGTGTATTTGCAGTGAAGGATTCCACTGAAGAGCTGACTGGAGGATGGAGACGGTCGCCATGTGTACGAAGAGAGGTGTCGTCTGTCTCCTCTTACAGGAAGATGTCCATTGCAGAAGATGTAAGATGAGCCAAGGACTGGACTCAGCCCAAATCAGGAGGCAGAGTCATAATACAAGTGTTTGCTGCTTGGCTGTGCTGTCCTTTTGTGTGTTCGGCTCAGAGGAAGGGGACACGGCATTTACATGTGCAGTGCTCCATACATCCTTTGAGAGAAATCATTTAAAGCATTTATCTTTGTTGTCCAAAGCTCAGGCAGCAGCTCAAACACTGCTGATAACACCTCCACCTCTGCAGCAGCAGACTGAACCAGGACTCAAACCTGCTCCATCATCTCATCTTTGTAGACCTGCATTTACAAGCACCAACAAGTCAACGGTAAACATTATACTGGATAATCTGCTGGTTTAAAAGGCTTCGTCCTTTTGTAAAAAAACAGCTCATATCAGCAGAACTGTAGGACTAAAAAATGTAAGAGAAGAGCTTCAGATCCTGAGTGTGTGAGGACAGAAGGATCAGCTTTATTTCAGATTTGAGATAAACTTTATATTTCAGTTTGTGATTACAGGAGCTGCCCTCAGATTCAGACCTCAGCACCACCCAGTGACAGCAGACAGATCATCCAACATGTTAACTGTAAAATTAAGTGAGGAAAACAGTACAAAGGTTAAAGTACCACACGTGCTGTAGTGAAGGCTGCAGCTGTTTTATTGATAAAGTTAAAGACAAAAAAGATTATTGTACTCGGCCCTGAAAAGC